CACTTCTACCGCTTCACTGAGTTGGCACAGGGCAGACAGATACAATTGCGTATCGTCTGCATAACTCCCAGATGGCCCTGGCACCCTCTCTGCCTCTGATGCAGAGCCCTCATCCGAGCCTTCCCCAGACTCCAGGATTGGCCCATGTTCCTCCCCAACCTCCTCGCTGTCCAACTCTGCTGCCATCTCTGCTGCCAACTCCACAGGCTGCCGGTGGACCACAACACTTATCTGATTTCTTTGTCTATATATTCAGTACTACTTTGGTTAATTAGTCTTTTTAACTGCTATTCCTTTATGCTATTTATATAATACCATACTAATTATATAATACTTACAGAATAAGAATCTCTGGTTCCAGCAGGATCACATTCATCGATGATCCCTTTTTAACAATTTTAAAAAAGGTAGTATTATTCTCCAAACTTTACTTTTATCAATTTATACAGGAAGTTCAAGCTCAAAGAATTTCACCTTGTTCAACAGTGACTCACTGTTTATCCCCACAGCAGTTCTCTTTCAGAATATGAAATAATCATTTATAATATGAAAAGCATTTCTCTGTCCTGAGTCAGGGCTGGTTGAAAAGCCCACTCAATTCAAGATGCCAAGCATTTTATCAAAAGCAATCCACTTCTTTGGAAAGCATGTTAGGAGCTGAGTTGATCAAAATCTTCTGATCTCAAACAAATCCATACCAGCTGCTGACTGTGCAATGTTTCTATAAATAAGACTTTCCTTGTAAGTCTTACCTTGGCAATGAGGAAAAGTACTACTTGTTGAGATACATCTGTCACACTGCTGGCCTATGAAACCAGGTCGACAATCACATTGGCCTGTGGTCTGATGACATGTGTCTTGGTAGGAGCCATAAACCGAACATTGACAAGCTGCAAAAAGATGTTAATTTTAGAAAGAATGAAGGAGCCATGTGATGTGTGAGATGCTATCTCCAAATTCTAAGTTCTCATCTTTTGGTTTACAAATCCCATCTTTCCCAGTTGTTGGCATTTCTCTCTAAAAGAAAGAGAGGAGGTCGATTAGGCCACGCCTACCATGGTCACACCCAGCAACAGGGCAGCGAACCCAATTTTTGAAGCCCATTCCTGGTTGGCAGGGCCAACTAAGGTTCTCCTTTTTTTCTATTTGTTTATAATAACACTATACTAGGCTTATTTTAAGATCGCACTACAATTTAAGTGTGCTTTCTGTTCAAAATGGCAGGAAATTACCACCCACTTTTAAAATAATCATTTGAACACAGCTCACCAAAGCAGTTGAACCACAGATGACTCCAAGGAGCTCAGAAAATGTTAGATCTATAACTATAGTGCTTCTTCCTACAGGGTAGCCATTTTTGAATAAGACTAAATTTATCTCAAGTATTGAGGAAGTATTTTTTTCCTAATAGGTATTATTAGTTTTCGGAAAACTAACAATACCTATTAGGAAAAAAATACTTGCCAAAAACTAGTGAGTCAGCTAAATGTTACTTGTAAATCAAAGTGTCTGAGTGAAAAGGCAGAAAAATAAACCTGATTGTTTACTCAGATCCAGCACCTGAGGGATCTTAATAACCATAAATAACTGGCTGTATTTGGACCCAACATAATTTGTATGGAAAAGACAATTGCCCTGGGGGCCACATGTGTTGTCCACAAATCCAACTACAGCACAGTTGGACTCTAGATGAGAAAAATAAGAAATTAATTTACCATGGTATTCTGTTTAAATCTTCAATTTCTTTTGGTCTCTCCAAAGGAAATTTCAAAGAAATCAATGAAACCTAATTTCTGTGGGTGAAGGGATTATTTCCTTCCAGGAAAATATATGCTGAATTTAAAAAAAGGAATAATATTTTTCCTTGTGTTAATGTTTATATTTTTTTTAAAAAACCTATTCTTATCTATCTCTGTCATTTGAGGCAATGAAATAGGTACCAATATATCACACAAAAAGTTTCTTACGCCTTTTCCTCTTTCCCAGGTCCCAGTATATTAATATATGCAGGGTATTTTTTAACTAACTGGAAACTATGAGACCTCCTATATCTTTCTCTCTGGTGTTAGAGAAGCTGCTCTCCATGTGGGAGACATGCAATATGCAGCAAAGAGAATTGGTAGCATCAGCATAGCAGTTCTAGCATCTCCGAGTTTTGATTTAGTGGATAGTTGATTTTGTCTGTAGGTAAAATGTAATTATATTGCCTTTTGATCTGAAAGCCTGTTTAAAAGCACAAATATTTATGTTTATATAAATAAATGTGCCCCAATTTTTTTTAAAAAAAATATCTTTTAATCTTCAGAAATTTGAAAACCCTGAATTAGAAGAAAATCCAGTTCTCAATATATTTTATGATACCTCAGTGACTATTTAACTTGCATTCACTTTTAAACTTTCTAACCTGCCTTTTCACCAGATGAATGCAATTTAAAATGCTTAAAATATGAAAACAAATCATAATCTACTTTGATAGAAAGGGTAATGGAAATATCCAACTACTATATCTGTCACAAATAATACCTGAAATCCAGTCTGGCATTGACAATGAACCTGTATTGGATCGCAAATCTCATTATTGAACACCCCTGAGCCATAACATTGTCAGGCTGTATTTAAAAGAAATGAATTTAAAATGTTAACAATAGCCACGGATTTCAATCACAACAGGAGTGAAAAAAAGACCCCCAATGATATTCTTCTGCAGTTAACTTTGGCATTTCCCAGAAGAATAGCAAAACTTACGCTGACAATGTGTTCCAAAATATTCTGGTCTGCAACGACTGCCTAGAGAAAGAGAAAAGTATGACAGTGTTACATATTTGTCAGGAATATCTTGATTGATTGAAGTTACAAGGTTGGGAGAGCTTGATGTTGCCTAGACAAAGCTCTAAATAGCTAAGGGAATTGCAGAGTAATAATCCAGGTGCAGAAACAGATGTCAAATAGCTTCCAGTTAAAGATTTCCTGTGCTAAGCTTCCTATGCCAGAGGGCCCTGTGCTGGATAAACTCTTAATAAGCAAAGGTTGACATTCTCTGCAGGTGTCTGGTATAAATGTACAGTACTTACACATGAATTTTTAAATATATGTCTGTATAATATACTTGTAAAATTCACACAAAAAGTCCTGTCTTCTGAGCTACTCATTCTGTCTGAGACCATTCCCACTACTTGCCAAAATAAACTCACTCCTAAGAATATCGAGAATTATATGGGCTAGTTATCCATCAGGCTATGTTTGGGTCTCCAGAATCTCAGGCCAAATATTTAACGTCACTTGCTCCCATGGTACAGTATTTCATGGAGTAACAGAGGTTCAACCTCTGGAAAGCATTGTATTCTATTATTTGATTACAATCTTGAGGAAGAATGGACATAAGAATGTAAGCAATGCCCTGCTGGATCAGGCCCTTATCCCATCTAGCCCAGTAGTCTGTTCTCATGGTTGCCAGCCAACTGCACAAGGAAACCCACTGGTATTCCAGCAAATGGTCTTCAGACACAATCAGACTGCCTTCAAGACTAATAGCCATTGATCTGCATAACTTCCATGAATTGGTTCAACTCTGTTTTGAAATCAGCTAAACTTCAAAATAAGGGGGATTATTTATTTGTTAACACAATTTATTCACCACCCAACTCCCAATGACTATTGCAATACTGTCCAAACTTCATAGCCAACCCATAATCAAAGAAAATCAAATTGACAAGTTTCCAAACAGATTGGGAAACTGACTAGTCTAGATTATGAGAAAGACTATATGAATTTATAAAGCTGTGTAGAACAGAAATTGGGCATTTTGCAGCAAAATCTATGTGGATTTACAGTAAAGTGTGTCCACCATACAGTCACTCACTCCAATCACAAATAAGCTTAGTTAAAAACAAACTCACTCTTTAATTTGCTCTAATCAGCATATGCTTGTTAGTTAATGATAGATAAGGAAAGAATGGAAATAGCACTATTTAAATCTGCTCATCATGCCCCTGTACATTTCTGGACACTGTGTTCCACAGTTTGGGGGCTATTATCTAAAAAAACTGTATCAATGATGCAGCTATAATTGATTCTCTGTTAGTAAATGATAAGTTATAGACAAAAAAGTCAGAAACAACTTGCCATCCACATGACCAGGTGAAGTGACTGCTGGGTTCTGAGTTGTAGCTGGGGAGATAGGAATTCCTTTCAAAAGAAGAATAAAAGAAGCAGCCATTTAGATAAATAACCAGACAACAAAATAATTTACTATATTTTTTTTATACTGTGACTGGTCTACCAAGGTCTGTTTAAACAAACCTGGGGAGAAGGTGTGAGGAAAATAGGAGTTTTTTAAAACCTTTTTTTCTCCTATTACCTAGGATGTTATCACTACACCACTCTTTGTTTCAACATCTTCTCTCTTCTCACCATAATAATTTCCTGGGTCTCTCCTCAACATCCTCACCATCTCTACTTGGTTCATTTTCTCCACTCTGTCTGTTCTACTCCTCTTTCTCTTGCTCCAATCATCCTTTCATGGCAAAAGTTTACCTTCCACGTCTCAGCTGTTTCCCTCAACCATTTTTCTCCCTGAATCTTATCCATCTCTTGCTCAATATTCACCTTCTCTTACCTTGATTTATTCTTTCCTTCCAATAAGAATTTTCTCTCTCACAAGGTGAGAAAGAAAGAGGACTGGCTATTGAAGGATACCCTGCAGTTTTTTTGCAATCAGAAAATTTAGTGGAATATCACTTCCTTCTCCCTATTTTTTCTACCAAGGTAATTATATTTCTAATTTAGACCCTCTCTTGTTCCATCTTCTTCATGTTTCAGCTTCTGCAGTATCTCCATGTTAGCAAATACCTTGATATTTAAAGCAATACTTCAAAGAATTATTCTTCTACTATAATGTGTAGTGATCGCATTCCATAAGTGCTATGGTTGCACTAGACTGAAAAACAATTATAGTATTGGAACATCAAGCAGAGGAAAGAAAAAAATAGAAGAGCAAATACATCCAGATGGGAAGCATGTTTAAAAATAGAGTGTCCTGCTTTCCAATCTAGGTAATTAATCTGTCGTAGAGATATAACTCCAGATGCTTGTTGTAGAAGTTCAGTTTTAGCTCATATTTCATAAAAGACTACTGCATGGCAATAAAATAAAATATTTACCTCCTTGCCTTATTTGGAAGTATGACTTAGGAATAGCTTAGAAATAGCACTAGGATAAAATTGAGTGTAAGAAAATCTTGAATAAAACAATGGATATTAATTTAAAGATTCACTGGACATGCTGTGATACTCACGGTAACAGGAGGGAAAACTATGGTATCCATCAGCACACCGATCACAGGCTTTACCCTGATAGTTCAGCTTACAATAACAGCGACCTGATCCTTCTTCACAGCCATTGGTATGTTCAGAGGTACACCTGCAGGCTACAGGAAATGACATCATCAAAAGCTTTCTTCAAATACATTTGTTTCTTGAAGTTTACTAAGTTTACTCGAATTATAATAACAGGAATTCCTACTATACATCAGATTCAGTGGTGGGTTTCAAATTTTTTTNACCCTGAGCCGGTGAGATTTGAACCGCTGACCTGCTGATCTAGCAGTAGCCTGCAGTGCTGCATTTAACCACTGCGCCACCTTGGCTCTTAGTCAAGATAAAGTAATAAGTCATTAAAATTGTTTATACTTGTTCTGAAGAAGGGGATAGTCATTTATTTATATATTTCCATTTTTATTTACTCTGTTTTTTCTTTCTTTTTTGGAATTTATATTTTTTCTTTTTATTCTGCTTTTTAAAGTTTGTATTACTTTTTATTGTTGTAATTTCAATCTTAAATGAAAAATATCTATAAAATAAATTTAGAATGTTTAACTTCATAAAAAGACTTGTAATTTTTTTAAATATGAAACAGAATGTAGATAAACTGCTTTTACCTGCTGACATTCTCTAATACCACTTAGTACTCCAGCTACATCACACTGGCAGTCTGCAAAAGGAAACAAAGTTATCTGAATCTCAGCTAATGAGAAATTGATTATAATACTGGGGTCCCCTAATCAAATGACAAATCCTGGACATCTGAGTTTTGGTGGTTTTATACAGCTGATAGGCAGATTTGAGTTTCTCCATAATACTTAGAAAAAAATGACCAACAATGATACACCAGTACAGGGTGTACAAATTTCAAGTTCTCCAAACCCCACTTTCAGGTACAATGTTAAAAATAATGGAGAGAAGGAAACAAGATTGTCTCAAAAGATTAGAACAGAATTTTAAAAATTGAATTAAATTAAAATAGCATTTCCTATTTCAACAATGAACTTCAAGATGGTGGCAGTGGAGTAGTACAAGAAATAAACCTGAGTTTTACCCTGCAACTTCCATGCTTACTGGGATTCTGAGAGATGGCAGCAATTGAATCATAAACTTTCTCTCTTATTTGTTCTTGGGTGTGCTAAATATAAACTCTTTTCTCTAACGATTCTTCTGCAAACATCTGTTTTCTTTTTCCTAATCAAACTTCTTTGTCCGGCGTTAACCATGACATTAATTAATAATGTCAGTTCAGTACTAATTTCTATTTTGATTGAGGCAAGCACATTACTATATATAGATGATGTGATTATTTGTGGGGGAAGGAATACACTACATATCCATATTGTATACAATACAAAGTATGCATTTTTCAAAATACACTAGAAAGCGTTTTGCAACATAAACAAAAAGCAAAATCTCCATGAATATCTAGTGTTACACACAAAAATTCCCATCTTTCAGTAGCATGGAATCCCTCCATGCTACTCTATTCTTTTCAAGGCTGATGAACATAAAATAGATTTGGAAAATCTCGAATGGCCTGAAAATAATAGGAGGAAAATAGATTTGATTTTCATTATAAGCCCAGTTACCTATACATCCATAAGGATTAGCCCTGGCCAGGTTCCAGTAAAGTGGCTTACAGATGCTACAGGTTGGACCTTCTACATTTTGTAGGCATTGGCAATAGCCCTAACAACGAAGAGGAAAATACATTTGTTAATAAAGAAAACTAAAGATCATACTGGCTAATGATGTAGAAAAATGAGATAGAGAACAATTTTACAAGTGCAACGAACAAGCTGTCAATTATATCAACAAGTGAGCCTTAGTCTATAACTATTAGACTATACTGACAGTAATATTTGCTGGACTCAAAAGGAAAGCTGAGGATTTTATATCAAAAAGTAGGAAATCTTACAACAGAGACAATCTTAGAAATTATTTTTTAAACTAACTTATTTAATATAGAACTTTTCCAAAAAGGACAAATTTTCCAAATGGAACGAAAAACACTAGTGTGTGCCACAGAGTGCTACAAGAGTCCTCGTCCTCTTAATCTTTTCATGTTTTACATAGAAAATAAACAAGATTGCAATAGCAGCTCAGTTTTTTTTGTCTGGAAAAAAGCAAGTAAGGTAAAAAGAAGCATTCAGGGCTGATAAAACTATTTTATGTCTCCCATGGCAGCCATTCTGTGAATGGGCAAATAGCCCACTCAGCTATTTTGCCAAAGAATCTATGACATATTGTTGACCTTTCATATGTGATTATTAGCTCAACAAAATTGAGATTCCTAGACATGTCTGAATGTTTAGCCCCTGTTTAAACACTTCTGGTGAAAATGCTTCCTATTATTACAACACAATATTTCATTTCCCACTATCAAGCAGCTCTTATGGTGTAGGTCATGGGTGTCAAACTCAATTGAGTCACATGACATATTGTGACCTATCACGATGGTTTTTGCCTTTGCGGAGCTGGGGTGGGTGTGGCCTATGTGTGATACTTCCGGTCCACAGACCGCCAGTTTGACAGCCNTTCACCAAATTTTACTAGTTGGCCACGCCGACCCAGTCACATGGCTGGTAAGCCACTCCCACTGTCACATGGCTGGCAAGCCACTCCCACCCAGTTACATGGCTGGCAAGCCACTCCCACAAAGCAGGCCACACCTAAAGAAGAGGTTCTAAACAAATTTGAAATCCACCACTGATATACATTCACTGAAAACACTTTCCTTATGGATACTTCTCTGAGTTTTAAAAATTGGAGGCATCCAGGGAAACATCTCTAAGATGGTCTAAAAGACAGACCCCAAAACAGGTCCCTTAGCTGTTAAGTTCTTCGAAAATACTACACCTCCCCATGAAGTGTCTTTAAGAATAAAATGGCAGATCATTTAATAATGTGACCTCACTTGCAGCACAAATTATCAAATTCCAATTATCCTACTTCATATACATTGTGAGGTACAGGTACTGTATACAGCCTTATAGGAGATATATTAAAAAATCAGAAAGACCGGGAACAGAGAACTTTCCCCATGTAATCTAAAATAAAAAGCATTATATGTAGTATAAACAAACTTCAAATGTTAAAATATATTGAATCATTTTTTTCTTATTAGCATATATTGAGGGGAAGAGGCTAGTAAAAAGAATAGGAAAAATAGACGTACGTATGCATCCATGCACTGCTGTGACTGGAACACCATATGGCCGATAGTATCCCTTTAAACATTTCTCACAATTTATACCAGCTGTGTTGTGCTATATGGGGTAAAATGCAGAAGAAACTGGCATAAGAGAAATGAAATCAGAAGAAGAGATAAAAAAGAAACAATTCAATTTTGGCAACTTTCAATTTGTTTCCACAATGAAGAAAAAGATTGATGGAGCAGAAGTACAATGACTTGGGATTTCTCTCAATGTATCAGGAATGCAGACTGAACCAGGAATGTTACAATAACTTTAGGTTCGACAGAGATTAGCAACATTTTCTGATATAAAATCACATGATTTTATATAATATCACAGGGCAAAATAAAGGCAAAATAAAAAAAATGGTTACATTATCATGAAATATTTGAATTTTCATATTTCATATTTCATATTTTTATTTTTTAATTTTATTCCAACATGGCATTGATATAAAACAGTACAATTTTAAATATCAACTGTAATAAATGCATCCTTATATGGAAGATGAATTCAATTCTAGGCACCCTATTTCAAAAGGACAGTAACAATTACTCAAGCTCAGAAGACAACCAAGATGGTTAGGAGCAGTGGTGGGATTCAGCCAGTTCGCATCACTTCGGGAGAACCGGTTGTTAACTTTCTGAGCCGCTTGGTGAACTGGTTGTTGGAAGAAATCATTAGGGCAGAGAACCAGTTGTTAAATTATTTGAATCCTACCACTGGTTAGGATTCTGGAAAACAAGCCCCACAAGAAACACAAGGATAGAGCCTAATGAAAAGACAACTGAAGAGAAATGTGATAGCACAGAAATGGAAGTAGACATATTTTCTATTTGCCCAAAGGACAGAGCCAGAAGCAGTGGGTTACAACTTCAAGGAAGTAAGCTCAGCTAGGCATCAGGAGGAACTTTCTACCAGTTAAAACTAGTTTACTGATTGAATAGACTCTACGTAGTCTTTAAATTAAGACCGTAATGAAGCCTGCCCATTACAGTATAGTCATATATCCTAATGGCACAGTACATTCATATATCGCAATGGCTAAAATTTTACAACTTTTTTTGCAGGTGTCTTTAAGTGAACAATGCAGTCATTAAGCAAACCAAAAGTTCCCTATGGACAGGTTTTTGTTGAAAACTGAAAGTGCCGGATTTCAGCAAAAAAATCATAAAATGTGATCACATGACCATGGGACAGTTGTAAATGCAGATGTGTTTCTGGGTGCCTGAAGTTCAGTCACGTGACTGCAGAGACAGCCCAATCCAGGGGTGGGTTGCTGCGGATATGGTACGGCAGTAGTGGCCGGGAGCAGCTGAGAGCATACCGGTATGGTGGCTCATTTAGCCCACCCCTCCACCCATGCTCTCTAGGCTGTTTTTATGCCAAAACACACACACTGCACACACACACAGTGTGCGATGCCTGCGCAAGCCCCGACAAGCAGTTAGGTGTTGCAGGGGCGGTGGATTGCGCATGAGTGGGCAGCACACATCACATGCATGCACAGTGTACATCAAGCTTATGCACGTACTGACTGCAATCAGCATACCAGTAGAGACAGTAAGAACAACCCACTACTGGCCCAATCACTATCTAAATCATGTAATCTTAGTGATGTATTCCCTGAAGGAATGAGGCAGGAGGCTCCTGAGGTAAGTCAACAGCAGTTTATTAGAACAGATCTATACAGTAGACAGGTTAGCAGTAGACAGGGAACCCCCCCCCCGCTTGACAGCTATTTATATGGAGCTGTCAAGCAGGGAGGCCAATAGGCACGCGTCTGACAGCCCGCGCTCAGCCATGCTGCGCCTTAGTCAATCAGGCGCGGCCTGGCTGTTGCTGGCTGTCAGTCGTAGCTATGAGGACTAAACACTTAGAAACAGCCCTACAAGCCTAAAATAGTTCAATTCTACAGAATAGTCCTGCGTAGTTAGTAATCAAAATTGAATAAAGCTTTGAGTGATAGAAAATTACTTTCTTCTGTAGCCCAGAACAATTGAAGTTCAGCATGCCATTTGCAACTTTCATGTACTTATCAAACTACAAAAGGTGTTACGGGAGATTTACCTGACAGTCAATGCAGACTCCTCCCCCTTGATACTGTCCATTAAGATTTAAGCTTTCTTTGCGTCGTTCAACCTCATGGTCATAATAGCAGTCAAAGGCATGGCCATGACAGTTGCAGGCTGAGAAAGATGGTGGGTTAAAATTCTTTTTAACAACAGAAGAAAATGAGCAAAGGAACACTGATTTTTTTAAAAAAATAGCATCACAAATTGCACATGCATCCTGACTTTTTCACAATCAGCAGCAAGGCAGATAATATGTGCTCAGCTAGAATCAAGAAGCATTCCCACCTACCAACTTTAATCAAGTTGGTTTGACACAAGAGATTTTTAAAAGGCTATTTAATTGCTCTAGAAAATTGCAGAATCACAGGTCAAATCTGAAGAAATACAGAGCAACGGTGGGATTCGTTTTTAATTTGTTTTACTTCCCATTTACATGTTATCATTATACAATATAAACCTTTCAAATGTGACCTGTGTTTACAATAAAGCAACACTTGTCTTTCTGCATGACTTACGTTCACAGAGATTTGGGCTGCTGGCTGTTGCAGGTTGCCAACTTTTCTGATTATACCCTGGACAGCAACGATTACAGGTTTCCCCACAAGTATTGTGTTGACATTCACATTGGTACCTATAATTATTAAGTAATTCTCAGTTAAGTTTCCCCTATTGCACTTTTCATGATTTTTGTTGTACTTTTTATATCTTATTTCTTTATGGGATGTTTTTAAAAATAATAATAATAATATATATAGGTTATGTCCTAATCCAGGGGTTTCCAAACTTGTCAACTTCAAGACTTGTGGTCTCAACTCCCAGAATTTCCCAGCCAGCCATTCAGACTGGGGGATTCTGGGAGCTGAAGTCCACAAGTCTTGAAGTTGACAAGTTTGGAGAACCCTTCCTAATCCAATAATACAAATTCAAATGTTAACATATTTGTTTATGAAATGTATATTCCACATTTGTACTAAAAAGCCCATACGGGAGACTAATAGTTTTTTCAAACAAAACTCATTTTATCATAGCCATGGGGATGGATGAATGAATAACCTTTATTATAATCTGAGATTTTTGGAGCAAGGAGAATCCCCAAATCATCTCCATTATTTTATAAACATAAACAAAAAATCATCTGTAAGAACTGTTGTTTTGATTGTACAGTTGGTTACTTTACCTGTAGGAATCTGGGTCAGTTTTTGCAGCACATACATCAGCATGTCCATGACAAACACATTGTCCACCAATGCTGATGTCTTTTATACTGTAGTAGTACTAGATAACAGAAAAAATAAGATTTGTAGACAAATAGAAGAAGCAATTTATTTTCAAAAAGTCATGTCAAACATTTTTATGGATGTAAATTGGACACTAATTATTTGCTAAAAAATATAGATTTGGCCAACTACCATATTTTTCGGAGTATAAGACACACCTTTTTCCCCCAAAAAAGAGGGTGAAAATCCGGGTCTCTCGAAACCCTGCTCCCTTCACAAAAATGGGCTTTGTGCATAGGCTTTGGGAGGCCTGCAAAGTACTCCTGGGGGCTGGGGAGGGAAAAAACGAGCAAAAAACGGGCCATTTTTTGCCCCCCCAGCCCCCAGGAGTACTCTACAAGCCTCCCAAAACCTATCCATGCCCTGGTTTTTTGTTTGTTTGTTTTTTGCAAAAAATGGGTCTTTTTTGCTTGTTTGTACCCCATCCAGTCCCCTTTGCAGACCTCTCAAACTCTCTGCATGCTTTTCACAAAAAACAAGGCATGCAGAGGGTTTGGGAGGCCTGCAGAGTGCAAAAACCTTTTTAAACAATTTATCTCTTCAAAATCTTGGTGCGTCTTATACTCCGGTGCATCTTATAGTACAAAAAATACAGTATATTCTCCAAACATGTACATTACTTAAGGTAAAGCATTAGAAAGAGGTTGGTAGCAACTTCTCCAAAAGTGCAAATGCCTTTTGATAACATTTGTTAATCAGAAAAGATACTACCAGACTTCTGGCTTTTTGTCCCTTGTTTTTTTATAGGTGAAAGAGAAAACAAGAAACAGTGGAAGGAAAGGGAGGGAATTGTATTAATACTTATAATAAACAGGTAAAGAGCTTAAAAAGCTGTATGGGGGGCATATTATAGGCTTCCCCAGGAAAAAAAGTTGCTACAATACAGCTATGAATGCAGGGCTGAAATCTTTCAGCTCAGCTATGAGACTCATTTGGTGTCTTTTGGCAGTTACATTATAGTTCCCTTATCTTTAAAATTAACATAAAATTTGTCTATTTTAAAGATAATAAAAAGGCTAATGAAGACCCTTCATAGGGTGACCGAGAGTCCTTTCATGAATGTTCCCTCAATTCTGCCACAGTTCTGCAGCTCATCTGCAGCCAAGTCAATTAATTTGTGGTTCATCTGCAATGCAAAAATAAGTGTGCAAGAATATTTCTGCAGAATACTATATTGGTACCCTGGAGCAGGCAGCTTCCCAATGGCACAAATTTCCATCTCATCTTTTCTCTTCAATTCCCCTTCTCCATATCAGGTACTCGTAGCTTATCATTATTTTATCAACCTTTCATCAACTTTAGTGCCACATGCTGTAAAAACAACTCTATTGAGTTAAGGGCAATGCCTGTTTGTACCCTGCCTTATTAACTCAGTTTGAAAGAATGATTCTGAGATTTTGGACAGTAAACCCAGAAGTACCTTAAACTAGGATTAAATATAGGATTATTTCAGGATTTGGGGAAAGTATTTGTCTATTTATATTTACAGTAACTCTGGTATTGGACACAATATGCCAAAACTTAGCATTCTTGAGAAAGCTTTAATGTTGAGAAAAGGTGGGGGGTGGAAGAGAAGATGATGACCAATAGTAACTCAGTTGCAGTCGTGAAGGGAGTGTTGTTGGAAAATCGAAAATATCAGGCTATGGATAAATCACGGAAGAAAATCTATCAGTGTGGTGAACAACTGATTGATGGCACAACAATCCTTAGAACAAATTCAATTCTATTATATACATATAATATAGCAGAATAGTAAAGTAATTTCCCTTCATTAAAAGTAATTTCCCTTGATTAAAAGTAATTTCCCTTCATTATTCTCTCAATGGTCAGTATAATATCCTTTACATTATTAATTCAAATACTTGGTCATTCCTCAATATTATTTATCCAATTCTTTTCCATTACTATTTGTAGAGATGCCCTGAGCCGAATTAAAATCAAGGGTTCAAGCTTATAAAAAAACCACATTGAACAAATTTCCCTGAATTGAGTGGAACTTCTGGATATATTAACAAAGGGTTGTACTGCATTCCTATATGTTACAATTTGAATAAGGCTCATTGGACCAGAGTAATTCCAAGTAAATGAGTATTTACTCATTTATTCAGAATAAATACTCATAGGATTGGGTTAGAAGTCATTTTCAAGCCTTAATAATCAAAATGGTATTCAAAGAATTAACAGTTCATTGTTTTGCTACCACTCCCTATCATCAAGATATTTGATGATAAAGTTAGACTTGTCTGGGATGACTCATTGAAAATGTCAATAAGAATGGTGTGTGTGTGTATGTGTAAGAAAGATATATTATTTACCCTACCAGCAATGTACTGATGAATAGTTTAAGAAGATGAAAATGAACCAGACTTGCTGTTTTATTCACATTGACCAGGAAAAGAAAAATGTTTTGTGTTACAAATTCTATTTGTACCTATGTCTATACATCTGGTTTATAGATTTCTAATTATTTAAAAAGCGTTTCATATTTTCTAATACCGTTCTACCATGTTGCAAACTGAAGCAAATTTTCTCCTTAGATCACTTGCCTGCATTTATTCTGTGCCTGCAAAATATTGAAAATACACATCCCAGCTTTGTTAGCAAAAAAAAGTAGCTTTAAACAATATGTATCCTGCAATTTTAAAAAAAATCTGAGTCATTTATGCCTCCAGAGTTCATGTTTTTTAAGACTGCCCAAAATAAGGACTTTCCAATCTTCAGGAGATCACAGCATTAGTTATAATAACTTTGCAACTAACAGCTGGCTATCTCTACTACCATACCACTTTTGCCAGTATACCTGTACACTTCTGTAGAGAAAAGCAGTTCATTAGATATGAATACTTTTAACAGAGCCATCTTTTTTATGTCTATAAAATATTGTTGGAAGAAAAATCCATCTGGTTCAGTTCCAAGCTGGAAGAAAGAAACTGGAAACAATATGGAAAGTTGGTTTATTGAACAGAACCACAAAGACAATGTGCAGTTCTGGGTCAGCTGAACAAATGGCTGAATGAGTGGATGGATCTTTATAGGTTTCTGTGACTTTGAAGTTTGAACTGTTCTGGGGGTAGTGCAATGAAGGGGCTCGTGTTCTGAAAGGGCAATTCCCATTGTGGCTAATGGCTTTCATCCTGTGTTGGATCTTGGGTGAGGGGCTGCTTTCTAATCCTATCATTCTGCCTTTGTTAGTTGTGCTGCAAGGAGTTTCAAAATATCCTATCTTAAATGGATTGCCAAATCTGCATTTCTAAAAACTGTTCTCCTCAGTTTCTGCTTGGGGGCAGGGAGACTGGGTTTTTTCCATTTCTCCTTTAGGGGAAATGTTCTTATCCTGCCTTTTTTAATATTTCCCAAAATATTTTATTCTTTTGCAGTAGGGCAGTTAGGGTTCCCGCAATATATTTGCTTTAAGATCCTCTTTCATACTATGCAACCCTAACTGTCACAAAAACGCACTAATGAAATATATTGAGAAGGTTGCCCTCTTTCATCAATGCAAGTCTTTCACATACATTAAAAGTCTGCAGGAATTTAATCTTCATAATACATTCAAGAAGAAAATTGTGGTTTTGGGGATATAAAGTGTTATTGTAAAGAAGCTTTTAGATTGCACAGGTAAATTTATCCATTAACAGGGGATTAGCCATATTTTAGTGACAGATACGAGCCCATTTGAATTGCTATGCTGCGGAAGTGGAGATGTTTTCAGATACAAATATTGTACCTTCCTTTGCCATCTCAAGTTTTTTAGAAGTCTCTGGGGTACAAGAAGCATGCACAATCATTTTGCCTAACACTCTCTGAAAAGATTATGCCGGTTTACAAAAGCTAAACTCAACTGACAATATTCTTACTCAATAAAAAGTTGCCATATATGAAAACACACAGAAAGGGTTTTGAGTTTGTTGTCCTTGCTCTCTATCTGAATTTCAAGCAATATTCAACACTATAATATGGAAAATTAAATGGAATGTTTATATCCTAACTTATCAATAGTAAGTACAAGCTAATTAAAAATCGATCAAAGGTTTTGCAGAATAATGCCATTATTATCTATGGATTCCCTCTGTCAAAAAGAACAGGAACTCACTCTGCGTGTCACAGTTGGATCCCGCTGAGCTTTAGAGATCAAGTGTCCAAGAAGAGTGTTGGTTCTGAGGAAATGTAAACGAATATTTGTGGCTTTAGTAAAATCTCTAAGTATGGAAGAATGGCTGAAATCATTTGCTCCTGGACGGCCATTTACCAAGGATATCACAATCTGATTCAAAAAAGAGAGATGGATACATCAATAGTAACTGCTTTATTTTCAATATTTTTAAAAATTGTTAAGAATACATCTATAAATGATTTTAGCATTCATCTTATGTTTTAATCTTTCTCTCCACCCATCTTATGTTGACTTTCCCGTTAGTAACCCATTTTTGGGGTTGAACATGTGGAATTTTAAAGGTATGTTGGCTTACATTTGAGAGGGCTTGTCCATTCTCAAATGGTTAATTGGATGAAGTGTAAGTTCTTTAAAAAGTCAGGTGGTACTTGAACAGAGCTTGAAAGAAACCCTTGTAAATTGTCAAGTTACGTCTTTTCATATTTTCAAACTTTGATGAAATATTGGTTAAGTTCACACTTCATGATAAACTAAAGGACGATTAACATCCTTAACATTGATTGCTCATCTGACTAGAACAAAAATTGAGTAAGTAATATGTTCAAAAGAATTGACTATGATTATTACAAATATCAGTAATAGGAATCTGTACATTATTAGAGGATTGAATACTGTTAACACTGATCGATGTGTATTTATTTCCTGCTGTAGCATGAAGAGTCAAGAAATACATAAATAGGCAGAAAAAGTTCTTTTAATCAAAGGCTTTTTATAGCAAAAAGAATATACACAATGTTCTTATGGAACTTCCCCATCAGCAAGAACAGGTTCAGAGTTCTTTTGAACAACAGGTCATTGTAGTATACTAATAAATTCTGCTAACTCAGAATTCAGTTCACGGAACATTTTTATGAGCAAACTGGAAACTTTATTCATACCAGTAAAATGTTATTGGTTTAAGAAAACCGACTGATATGGGAAACAAGTCTATCTTTATATTGATGCTCCTAATTCCAAACTAAGGTATTTGTTTCATCTTGGTTTGGTGGTTATGTAAAAATAACGGTGTATAAAAAAGAAAATAATAGCCTCAAAATGAATAGTCAGTAGTGTAACTTAGAATAGCCTAGAGAAGTGTTTTGCAACCTTGGTGACTTTAAGATTTGTGGACTTCAACTCCCATATTGGGCTGTGGAATTCTGGGAGTTGAAGTCCACACATCTTAAAGTTGTCAAGATTGAGAAACACTGGATTAGAGAAACAAGAAAGGATATCTGGAAGAAGGAGTTATCTTCAAAGTGGGCTTTTCCTTAAATCAAACTATTACTGAATCCAACTCACAGTAAAGTAGGAAACGTGGATAAAATGAATAAGGCAGCAAATGTAACCCCAGATATGAGAAGGAATATTCACAGATAATGACAAACCAAGTTCCTAGAATTTATTATGCTAGAAGTATTAAAAGAATACATGCAATAACATTTGAACAATGGCAGAATGGCAAGCATTAGAATACTGATGACTTCAGCTTACCTCTCCATTTTCTAAAGGCACTATCCGAGAATATTCTGTTGTGCAAATGACATCATTATCTTTCCTGAGAGGACTGTTAGCTTCCTTTCTGAAACGTTCCCAGCAGCCTGCTTTAGAATCTAATTTTTAAAAAAGAAAGTCGCTTTTAGTTCAGTCTCTGGTATTTTTAATTGTTTCTTCTAGTCTTGATAATAAGATTTATAAGTAAGACACATGATATCACCAAAGCACAAGAGCTCATGCTGGAGCAGCTTTGGCATCTGAAATCCTCCTCCTTGCTCTTAGGTTCTCCAAAGTGTATGGGCATTCTCACAAAGTTGTGTCAAAGTATTATTGACTTACTACAATATTAATGTTTAATGAATTTTAATCAGGGAACAGAATGAAGAAAAAGGAAGGTAAACAGTAACCTATATAGAATCCACACTAGTTCTGAAGAGAATGAAGCCACCTTATGAATTCTTTTAAACAGTAACGAAAACTTTGGGTTATCATAGGCATGAGCCACAATGTATCTTGGTCCCACTACTATTACCTGACTTTATTGTTTACCTTAACTATGAATTAGGGAACAGCATTTTAGACTCATTCTGTGTACAATTCAGCATGGCTAACTCTATAAAATTCAATTCGCTTGAATTCTTTTCTTTTTCTTTTTGAAGAAAAAAGTACTATAAACATTCAAAGAGCTGTGGTTCATACTCACAGGCAAAATATTGCCATGGTGTATATGTTCTTCCGAAGTCTATTGATTTCTCTAATACCCACAAATCTGGACGAGGAGAATTTGCAAATTTGATGAGGACATAGGCCACATGGAACAACTGGTAATAAAATATATAAAAGAACATTAGAATATACCTGACAGCACTATGATACTATATAGTAGAATGAGTAAGCTAAGTTTTTTTATTGATAGTGAGCTGGCATCCATTTCTAGGTGTCCTATGTACTTTTAGGGGAATCATTAACATTTTTGGAGGAATTATTAACATAAGATTAATACTGTCCTGGGCACAGTGATTTGAATGCAGTAGCCGCCCTGAGTCTCTAGGGAGTGGGCGGCATACACATCCTAATAAAGTCAAAGTCAAAATATTGCAGACTAACTCTGCCAACAGTCTAGAGTTTGATCTTGATGGGCTTGTGGTTGACCTAGCCTTTCATCCTTCTGAGGTCAGTAAAATTAGTAGCCAGATTGTTGGGAGCAACATGCTGATATTTTAAACTGTTCAGAGAGTTCTGGAAAGTGTATGGAGCAGTATATGTCTACGTGCTATTGCTATTACTATTTGATATTATGTATGAATTAGCTAGTGATCATTTTGACATTTAATAATTTAAGGATTGAAAATAATGACATTAGACATGAGAAGTACCTTTGACAGCAACCCCAAGAGATTTTCAAAAATTATTAGCAAATTAATATCTAGTGTGACAACAGAGAAAAGTTATACATGAGTGGAATATACTGTATATTAACTGAATTAAATTATAAGTACATTTAACTAGAAATTAGATGAATTCAAATTTCATTTCATTTCTGATGTGAACCATCCATTTTTAAAATTACAGTACGTCAATCAAAGGTTAATTGTTGGTCTTTGTTCAAAAAACAAAGCCTTTCTATTTATCAATGTAGATCAAGGTTGATCTAGTCAGACTTCGTTGAACAGACTAAAAAAAACAAAGAATTTCAGAGACAATTATAAAAAGTTACTGTTAGATAAATCAATAAAAAGGAGTGTAGGTGGACTTTGTCAATAGAATAATTGCCCTGTGGAAACACTATCCAAAGTATAGTTTAATATTTGAAAGAATTGATTAATCAAACATACTCATTCAAGACAGAAAAGCTTGTTGTTAAAATATCATCCCAAGACATTTTAAAATATTTTGAATTTCTCAACTTAAAATTCCTTTTACTAGATATAGAATAACAGAGTTAGAAGGGACCTTGGAGGTCTTCTTGTCCACTTCAGACAAGTGGTTATCCAACATTATCTTTAAAGCTTCCAGTGTTGGGGCATTCACAACTTCTGGAAGAAAGTTGTTCCACTGATTAATTGTTCTAACTGTTAGGAAACTTCTCCTCAGTTCTAAGTTGCTTCTCTCCTTGATTAGTTTCCACCCATTGCTTCTTGTCCTATCCTCAAGTACTTTGCAGAATATTTTGACTCCCTCTTCTTTGTGGCAGCCCCTGAGATATTGGAACACTGCTATCATGTCACCCCGAGTCCTTCTTTTCATTAAACTAGACATACCCAGTTCCTGCAACTGTTCTTCATATGTTTTAGCCTCCAGTCCCCTCATCATCTTTGTTGATCTTCTCTGCACTCTTTCTAGAGTCTCCACATCTTTTTAACATTGTTGTGACCAAAACTGAATGCAGTATTTCAAGTGTGGCCTTACCAAGGCATTATAAAGTAATATATTCCTTCATGTGATCTTTATCCCTCTGTACTAAATCATTGAGATTCAACTGAGAAAAAAATTACATGGAGAAAGAACTGACAAGAAAGGTGATGTGGACTCATATGAATATTTTATTGCCTGTAATCTCAAAATCTTTAAAAGGAGGAAAAAACTCCAGAAAGCATGTTTTGCATGCCAAAGCTCCCAAATTCAATTCCTGGCAAGAAGGATTAGCTAATAAATGATGTGAAAACTCTTTCTTGGCTTAAGGCCTGGAGAACTACTGCCAGTCAAAACAGGTGATTGTGTGATTTTAATGGATTCATAGTTTAATCTAGTATGGGAAAATACCATAAATGTGTATGATTATCTATGCTAAAGCAGAGCAAAGAACTTTTTAACTTGGCTAAGAGGCTTCTATTCTATGTCCACAGTGGACTACCTCTGCCTATAGGAAATCCATAAGCAAGTCATAAAATGCACTCGTTTCCAAGAGTATGACATGGAAAAGCATACGGGTCTTGATGTGGGAAGTAACTACTGAGAATTGTGTCTTCCATTAACGTTTAAAATCCAGTATGTTTACTTTAGTAACCATGCCTTTGGCTGATTCATAAAAAAGTATTATTGATTTTACATGAATTCATGTAATAGTTTATGCATTTTAGTTTTACTTTATATTTGTTCTTTTTTTTCAGTTATTCTACTTTTATCCAACAATTGTATTTTTAAAGTGATCTTAAACATCACTGGTGAGAAAGTTTGAGACAGCAGTATAAGCAGTCTAAACTATCACCACAGTATGGTTGCTAGCCCTCTCTAACTTTGTTACTTTAAGTATATTGTACTACAACTTTACTGATTGTCAGCTGATCTAAGGGGTGGCCAAACTAGCTGAAATGATGGAGACTGAAATTCACACCTTTGGACATCTGACAGGCACCTATATTAGTGAGTCTGCTCTATATCATTTATTCAATAATGTACCCACTGCTGCTGATGAGTGAAAATTGGATAAATGTTTTTAGAGTCTAAAGCTGTGTTTCTAAAGCTGAAGTTCACTCAATTATAACTTGCTTAAAGATAGTTTATACCACAGATGTCAAACTTGCCGTGTTACATTGTTGTCACATGACACATCACGGCAGTTTTTCCCTTTGCGGAGCTAGGGTGAACATGACCTGCGCATGAAGCATCCAGCCCAAAGGTGACCAGTTTAACACCCCTGGATTATCCTATAAAATACCATTGGCTGAGTTTTCATAATATACTAATTATATTAAGATGTAAGATGTTGTACAACATTTTAAAAATGTATCACATCAATTTAGGATGTCTTTTTCCCCCCAGGACAGAAGTATGCAGGAAGACATCCCATTTCCCACTAGAACCATTAGAGAAACTATGGTTATTACTGTGTTTAAAACATGGTACTACCCAGATGAGGAAATAGGATTCTGTGGGATTTTACAGCTTCCTATTTCAAAATAAGTATAGTAGTATTCTTTTGGATATTGTGCTTCTTGATCTTCATTTGCTGCTGCATTCAGGTATTATAATGTCTTATGCTTGCCCTTTTCCCATCTGGGGTCTTCATTAAGACTGGTGTTCTGGTGTTACAATTAAGAAAAAAATCAGTAGTGAGTGCCAAATGTCAAAATTGCATGTTTCTCTGAGCAAAACATATACCTCCCAAAAGCAAGATATACTGTTAAAAAGGTGAGAAGGCTTAGAAGAATTGGAACATACATACATACATACATACATACATACATACATACATACATCAGCATGTCTCATGCGGCCTTAGCAGTGATATGTTTTTCAATTATTCTATTTCCCAAAAACGTGTCCAAAATATTGTTGGATATGTCATAGTAAACTAAGGGACATTTTATCAGTGCTATACAATAATCAAACATAAAAATGTTTTAATAAAAAAATATTTTCATTTCCAAGGATAAGGTGGGCTACATGTAACTAGGCTCCTGAATCTAGGATATGTTTCAATTCAGTAAAATTACTCTAGAGTAAGCAATTTTTAATCGCACAAGCCTTCAGTTTCACTTGTCTTAAACCTTCTGTCAATTTTCATGATCTTTTGCTTGGAACACTATCATAATCTTGAACTGTTTACTCTTTAACATTAGCCAAATGTATTAAAGTAGGTAAGCCAACTGTGTATTTGATGGTGATGAACCAGTACATCTAGATAGTTTTTACCTTCTAGTCCTTGTTTATTTACTTATTTCTCAAAGTTGTTTAGTCATCTTTCCATAAAATCTTAACAGAGTCAATGTCAAGCCACAGGGAAATCAGAAAATCCAGGCAGTTCAAGTGAATATAAATATTTATTGCCAACTTAAGCACTCTACAAGAATCTGAACTACTACAAAGCAAATTGGAATTCAAGGTGGGCTGAAGTTAGATCTCTTGTGGGCATGAAGGGATTCATGACTCATGACACATTTGACCCCTTCCTCGGGCTCGGCCTGGTCATCTTGTATAGTCAAAGCTATAAACAGAACAGCAATTCTCCCAATGGAAAGGAAAAATAATAGTTTGGGAGGCTTGGATTGGGATTAGGATGTTGGGATTGCTTGGATTATGTCTCCAAAATAGAAATATTTTTGTTGAGTATTTTACCAGAACAGTATAATAAAGAGAATACATATTTAATTTTACACATGTTAAGGGAAGCAAGAATTGTGTTTGCACAGCAATGGAAAAATGAAGAAATCCCAGCAGAGGAAAGTGTTATTAAAAAAATATTAGAATATGCTGAGATGGATAGATTACACTTAAAAGAAAAGAAAAGGAAGAAACAGAATACTTCTTAACATGAGGCTTGCTTTAGCAATGGCTAATTAGCAGAAACAGAGGTTAGAAAGATTAAAAGGATAATTAATTATATACTGAATTTTTTTAAATTGATAAGATAATCGTACTATTACTGTGTGATTAATATTGATATGTAAATTATGACTATAATTATGATTATTTTGTATCTCTACTCAAGACTAATTGTACCCAGACAACATGTTTAAAAATGTATTAATAAAACATATATTTTTTAAAAAAGAATCTGAACTACTACAAAGCAAATTGGAATTCAAGGTGGGCTGAAGTTAGATATCTTGTGGGATTCATGACTCATTACACATTTGACCCCTTCCTTGGGCTCAGCCTGTCCATCTCTTATAGTTAAAGCTATAAACAGAACAGCAATTCTCTCAATGGACAGGAAAAAGAATAGTTTGGGAGGCTTATCTTGTAATATGTTGGGATTGCTTGGATTATGTCTCTAAAATAGAGATGTTATAAACAAATCTACTAGTTTGCTGAATATAAGTATAAGTAATTTTTTCTGCCATTTTTCTCCATCCAGTGGGCCCACTACATAACTCGA